GAATGAGAGTTGATGCTTGAATCGACCTAAAACCTTGATTTCAGTATTGAACTTTTTGAGAATTTTTGCAAGTTTGTAATGGCTTCTTGGGCGCAGCTTCCAGTCTTTTTCCATTAGGTTTACATTCCTGTATATGTAAGGAGTGATTAGGTTAAGAAAACTTGGACAAAATCCATTGCTTTGATGATTTTCAATATTTGATTTCATGAAATCTTTTCCATATCTTTTCCATATGCAATTTGGTGTCAATTAGTTCCAATCAACCCAAAACCTTCCATAATTGACTAAGCACGAGATATTGAGCCTATAATGTGCATAAAAAGATTTTTTTAGGTTAGGTTTATATTTTTCATGTATTAAAATGATTTAAATGAATATAAATTAATATAAATTCAAATAAATAATTAAAAAATATGAAAATACTTCCCTTTGGGCCTAGTGGTCGTGCATAGGCTTGGCATGAAGAAACTTGGAAGAAAAATGGGCCCATTTGCATTTTTAGGTCATTTGAACCATTGTTGACTTTTCAAAATTCCCAAAAATTTCCCAACTTCCACAAGGCATAACTTGGTCAATTTTTAAGCTTTTCACATGTTCTTGGACATTTTGGAAAGGTCTTTGAGTCCTTTAACCAATGCCTTTGGTCCCATGTCATTTTGATTTATCAATCTCAAGTTATGGCCTTTGACTTAAAGTCACTTTTTGTTGACTTTTGAAAATGACCTATAATGTTGAAATTGATAACTTTTTGTGAGAGCATTTCTTGGACTTGGAACATGAAGATGAATTGTAGGAAATGTCTTTCTCTTCAAAATGAGCTTTGGATGGAATTTTTCTGATAATCCATGTGAAAGTTATGCCCTGGTCAATTTCAGTTGACTTTTTCAGCTGTCCAAATATAGCAACTTTTGTATCTTGATGATTTTCTGAGCCAAATTTTGAGAATCATGATCAAGCATTGATAAAATGATGTTTGTGGCTTCAAAATGATGTGTTGACCAAGAATTTGAACTTTTGACTGTCAAATGACCATTTTGCCCCTACAGTTGACTGTAGTGCAATCTAGGGTTTTGACTGTGCAATTTTGAGCTGAATGCCTTGAAACTTGACATGAGGATACTTGACCATCTTTGTAAGCATATGAGACTTGATTGGGCCTTTGAAAAGTTCATTTGCTTGACCAGAACTCAAACCCTAGTTTTGACTGTATAGGAGACAGTTGAGCTGCACAACCCTGGGGGAATTTTGTGACCTTGACTTGGTAATTTCTTGATGAATATGGGAGGGCAAATTTTGGGGTACAACACCTTCCCTTTCTATAAATCTACCTCCCGAACCGAGAACTATTCACATAAGGAATTTTGCTGTGCTTTTGTCCTGTCCATGTTGGAGAAAAATAAAAGACGGTGGCGACTCTTGCTTCCGCGACATTTTGCAAACCAGCGTTAAACAGTTAGTTCTAAATCCACCGATCACAAGGAGTAACACCTATCAAATCTTCCTTCTTTCTCTTCCTTTCCTTAGCATATTTCTTGAGCAATACATCTTTCTGACGAAGCTTCTCGTTGCGATCAATAAACCAACCATCTTAAATAAATAGCATATCCTCCTTCTCTTTCAGTTGTCTAGTTAGGACCATGTTTTCGTATTCGAACATACTATACTTTTCCTTCCAAGCATCTCTTTCAGACTCCGTTCTAGCCAGATTTTCATGATACTCTTTCATGTTCTCAATAGGAATGAAAGTAGATGGCGTTGTAGCAACATGGAATAAGGTTTTCTCGGGATAATAAGGCATCTTGAGAACACAAGCCCTAGCACGAACCCATTGAAGGTAAGGCTCCAAAGAAACAACACCTCTCTACTCTAACACATCTCTTCCCTTTCTATGGATATGGCGCCAAGCCCTTTCAATCTCCTCCTTAGCTGCTTTGTGATCTTTTCCTTCTTGGAGGAAGAAACCACTCAAATGAATGTTATTTGATTGTCCTTCATTTGGTATCCAAACTGGCGGCGCGCAAGAACGGGATTATAGTTAATTCCTCCTCTCGTACCAAGAAGAGGCACGTTGGGCAAACACCACAACTATCAATGATCTTCACATCAGAATAAGCCTGATTGTACCAATCTATGGCGAAATGAGTAAGATCCATAATTTTTGGAACCCATCGTGGCTCTTTCTTGAGATCCCAAAAAACATCAGACCCAGGTAAATGAGAAACATACCACTGGTATAAAAATGGTGCACAATAGATAATCATCCCACCTTGGTAAGAATTTCGAAGATGGATGGAATATAAGGTATCTCCTAGCAGTGTAGGGATTGGATTTCCAATAAAAAAGATTCTAATGGCGTTGATATCCACTAACTTATCGATGTTAGGGAAAAAAATAACCCATAAGTAAGTAAAGAAAAAACAACTTCAAAGGCGACAATATCCTTTATCTCGGTGAAGTAACGAGCTTTCTTCAACAAAAATTATGCAGGTAAGCCTCATATTCCTCCCTTAGTAGTCATGTTATCTTCTATCTCATACTTGATCAAGTGGGTAACTATTGTTATCTCATTAGGCTTGGGTTCCCCTTCTAAACCAGAGAAAGGAACACAGTCGGTGATTGGTAAACCAAGTATATAAGAATACTCTTCCAAAGTGGACATCAACTAGTAATCAGGAAAAGTGAAGCATCGATACAACAGATCATAAAACTGGACCAACGTAGTAAGGATACCCTCCTTCATCTTGCACTTCATAATAGGAATAATAGATCCATATTTCTTTCGAAACTCCGTAGGGGTCTCAATCATGGGAATCAAACTCTTCAATCTCAGGCTCCTTGAAACTATAACTCTGAGTGTTTCTTTTTCCAAAATCCATAGTAAAAGTACCTGAGATGTTTGAAAAAATCATTCTTAACTTCCTTGAATAACTTGTTTAAAGAATGCTTATGGATGCATGAATGAATGATAATGCAACAATTACACATCAATTCACAAACGTGGGGTTCAAAGGTTCAATGCTTTGAGCATGGATTCAAAGGTAAAGCCCACCCCTAAGGTATGTAACAAAGGTTTAATCAAACCTGTAAAACATGGTTCTAAAGGTTCCCAGAGTGTACGATCCTCCTTCGAATATTACCAACATCTCGATTACTCAGTAATTAGAAGTATTCTCAAGAGAAATTCGTCTGAGAGTAGCATCACATGACAACTACTTCTGGATTACTCCGTTATAGTCTCCGCACTGCACCTAAGAGGCCAAGATGGGTTAAGGGTTCTATGGTTCCCAGCTTTTCTGGCTCCCAGGTCGAAAGCAATAACGTCTTCCCGATTACTCAGTAAATGAATACTACAGTCAAAGGGGCTTCCACTGAGTAGGGGATGTCATGCCTCCTTCTTCGGGATTACTCCCTCAAAGTTAACATGACTATACTGTCCATCTGATTCCTAAGTGTAACTTAGTCCGGGTATAGGACTTGTCCTTTGTAAATAACATCAATTCCCAAATAACCATAATATATAACATATAATCAAACAAATAATAATAAAAAAAATAAGACAAACTAGGCTTAACTCACTTAGGGTTGGAGTCCCAAGCAGAGTCTCCAATTCTGTAACGATAAAAAATGTAGCAGGGTAAATCAGAGATCGGGCTATTAATTAACTCGACTCACAAAAGCAAGAGTCGCCACCGCGCTTTATTATTTCCAAAGAAAAAGGGAAAAGAGCGAAATAAAATCCTAAAATATGCAATGTAAAGTAATACTTAAAAGTAATGAAATTACAATGTGTTTTTGAAAATGATCTAGAGTTCGGGGGTTGGTTATGTAATGGGAAGGTATTAACATCCAATGCATCTACAGTACTCCGCAAAAACCTTTTGAAATATCTATTTTTGGTTTAAAATTGTTTGTTTGATTAAAATGGTTCGTTTGGCTAAAAATGGGTGTGCACGAGATTTTAGAAGATACCACGACCTAGTGTCAAAGTTTTGACTTAAAAGGTGTGAGTTTTAAAATTGAATCTTTTAGGAAAATTGACTTAAGTTTAGCAAAATAGTAAAACAAAAATGAATGAAGGGATTCACACAATCAGATAAGATGTATTTGATGACATGAAGTCAACAAAGTTAAAAACATTTCCATTGGAATTGAGACGGACGAACGATAGAAAGATTAAATGATCGAGAATAAAGTTAATTAAAATGAAATTTGAAAAATTAAATAAATAACAAAAATTAAATTATACTAGCATGCATTTTCAAACAAAATTAAATAAAAAATTAGTTTATAAGCATGTATTGGAATAATTAGTAAGCAATAAAATTAAATAAAGACTAATTTGATAATATGTTTTGAATAAACAAGAATTAAATAAAAGACAATTTATTAGCATGTTTATGAATAAATAAATAGAAAAAATTAAATAAAGACTAAACTATAAAAAAAACATGTATTTTTAATAATTATAAATGGAAAAAATTAAATAAGAGACTAATTTAATAACATGTATTTAAACAAATAACAAAAATCGAATAAAAGATTAATTATAATAGGATGTTTTTATGAATTTTTATAATAAGGGGTAAATAATAGAAATCTAAACTAATGTTGTTATCATATATTTTTATTAGAATTTGGGGAAAAGGCTAACAAAACTAAAAACAAAATAAAAAGGCCCAGCAAGGGTAGAACCCGGGTCCTTTAAGTTGCTACAAACATGTCTTGCCAATTGAACTATGTTGTTTTTTCTGTTATTATTACGATTTAATTAAAATATGAGGTGAATACGGTTGAGTGATTGGGCAAATAGGCCCAAAGGGTCTGACCAGATAGGGAAAGAAACAAGGAAAAAAATTATAAACCTAATAAATCAAGCGTCGTTGCTGGTCTGTTGTTTGGTCATTGGGAAGGCAAAAATAAAGATTAAACATTATTGCTGTCAATAAACTCTGTTTTCGAAGGGTTTTTATCGTGAAACAAAATTCAAAAATTTCTCTTCCCTAATCACATATTCTCTTTCTTCCCTTCAATCTGCTTTCTCTTTCTTCCTTCTGCTCCTTGATGGTGTCATAATAATTCCATCCAACCTCGGATGACAACTGCCTAAGCAAGCAATATTTGTGGCTCTTTTGAAGCCTTAACACCTTAAGGGCATCAGGTACCACCATCCTTTTGATCTTGTCATATGGTGGAGGAATTCCCTCGTATACTTTCAACCTAGCAAGTGCAGCCTCTCCATGCTTGGTCTTGTGTGGAATCATTCCACGAACTGGGCGCCAAAAGATATTGGACAGAGCACGAAAGTGAATAGGACCATGAGAGAGTTTGGTGTTCATACGCTTACGAAGGAACCGCATGTATTCCATCTTCTGTCTAATGAGACTGTTGGAGATGAAAATTTCTTCCCATCTAACGAGAAAAATCTTCTGACCATTGAGAAGCTCCTTCGTAACGATTTAGGCAAGGCAGCCGAGCATATGGTGACGAGCGTCAAACATCACTCTCTTTGCGCAGGCTCCTGATCTGGACACCATTTTTGCTCTTTCTAGCGGCTTTTTTCTTCTACATATCTCACTCTATCTTTGATAAACAAACTGGCAGTAACATCTTCGTTGGTTATTTATGCATCAACCAATGTGATTTGAACTAAGAACTTGTCCTTGCAGACCAAATCTTATGGAGCTACCCATTGAGCTTGCATTGTAACTATGAATTCACCACTAGATTTTGGCGCGAGAGCTCCATAGCTTAGCAGATAAAATAGAGGAGGAAGAGTAGCGATTTAAACGAAGGGAGGTTGGTATTACTGCATTTTTAAGTTTTCGATCTTGTTTCTGGGTTTTTGATTTCATCGCATGTTATTGTTCTATTTTTTTTTGTGACAGAAGAAGAAAACATGGTTAGCTGGAGTGTGTTGAATGGGTTGAGGTTGAGATGAAGAGATGGTGGTGTGCGATTGACAGTTAGTGATTACAGAAGGTTGTGTGGAGGTGATTTTCATTGGGAGATGTATAGTATTGGATCAATTTGGAATAAAGACGGAGGAGCTAACGGTGGTTTGGCAGCGGAGATGCGGCGGTGTTAGTGACTGCTTCACGATAATAGTTTCTGGTATGGCTCTAGTGGGATTTGATGGATCTTATTTCTTTCCATTTTTGGCTTCAATTTTGATTGTGTTATGAGTTGTTTGAATGTTATGTTGTTGATCAGGAAAATGAAAGAGAGAGTTAGGGATTTCAGTGTCATGTGGTTGAGGGAGAAATTTATCATGTATATTTTGACTAATTTTATGGGGATAGGTGTGATACGGTGGGAGAATTGACATGGTTATTTTGAGTTTGATCGCAAATGTTGCGGTTAGCAAGAGTCGCCACCGACTTTTCTTTTATCCAAATAGAAAGGTGAAAAAGCACAGGAAAGAACTTTGAGATTGTTTTTTGAGTTCAGGGGGTAGATTATGAAAAGGGAATATATTAGCACCCTTTTCATCCATGGTTTTCCATGGGCTCTTAGTTACTTGCTAGATCACTTGCTTTTCCTTGAAAATGTGCTTTGTGTGGTTTTTGAAAGTATTTTGAAAAGGTGCCATTGTTTTAGGCAAACTTTGTAATGATTCTCGTTCGTAATAATGTATACGAAGTGTTTGATCTTTTGAAAATGTTTTCAAATTTGAAAGATTTTTTTGAAAGTGTTGATGTTTGTTTTGAAAATAGCAAGGATTTCTTTGGTTTTTAAAATGATCAAGAAACTAGGAACAATCTACCTACTCAAAAAGTCTTTCATGTTCATTTCCTTTTTCCATTGACATTGTTATCTTACCATTGATTTGGTAAGTAACCCTATCTTTGGATGTAAAAGGTACGGACAAGGGTCATCCTATAGCCATGATTAGAAATTTTGTAAGATATCTTAGCATTCTCTTTAAGGGACTAAGATCATATTTGAAAGGAAACTTTGATAGCGTCATCGAGGGACTATGATATTGTATATTGTTTGTTTTTGCTAAGATACCTCACATGTATAATATGGCCATTTTGTAAGGCAACAAAGTGGGTTTACCCTAAGGGTGTTTATGTGCAAGTGTGTTGATTTACATGCTTGATTGGTCTTGATTAGGGTTTGATATTTGTTGATTTTAGTCTTTCCATACAAAAACCCTAATTACTAGCATTTGTATATAAAGCATTTAAATTGCGAAAATATAAAAATACTAAGCTATTACATCTTTAGGGAAGGGGGTGTACAAATTACAAATGGGGAATTGCAAGAAATTAAATCTAAATAATTATTACAAGCATATTGAATTTTGAATAAATGTACAAAATAAAGATAAGATGCAAGAATATAAAATGTATGAAGAAAATGTGATTTTTGTTCTTTTGTTTTTATGAAAAATAAACTAAATAAATATAAATAATAAAATAAAAATATTTTTGGATTTTTTATTAATGAAAATAATAATAATAGTAATAATAATAAAATATCAATAATAATAATAAAAGATGGAATACAATAAAAGTATAGAATTAAAGTCGGGGAGGTTAAAAAATGAATTTGGTTTATTAGCAAAAACAGTTTTCTAAATCCGGCCCAAAATAAAGTTTTTGTTTAGAAATCAGAAAAATAAAAAAAAAGGGATATGGGCTGTGTGGTATGAGCAACTTGGGGGGTTAGGTTGAGAAAAAAGTGAAAAGCCCAGGAGGGGGAAGGGCCATGCGTGCTGGAAGGATAAAAAATGTAAGAAAATGAGAGAAAAAGAAAAAGGCAACGCGCTGAGATTCGAACCCATGACCTCTTGATTACCAGTGTGCTGCCTTACCACTGTGGTGGCTATACATCCGTTAATATAACTGAAATGATAAACATGTAAGGCAAAACAATCCATGAACATACTTCATCTTCAACCTCCAGCCAGACCACCTGTAACTTGCTCATTTCTCATCCATTTGCAAAAATGTAAACATCAAACTTGTTCCAAACTTCGCAACAATTCCAAAATTATAAATTATTAAAACTATAAATCAAAGATAAGCATGAATTTTGAGTGGTACCAAATTCTGAACTAAATTTTCCAGGAAGTTCAAATTCAAAATTCTAACTACTCAAGCAATAATAATGAAATCTAAGGACATGGTTAGCTTCAAGACAATGATATCTACATTTCTTATTCATAATTAAACCCTTAATGATGCTTGTATGAAGAGTTCCAAGTTAAGGAAACTTACCTCAAAACTGGAAATCGTATTCTGAGTTTAAGCACTCTTCAAGGTGTTGTGATGATCAGAATAGCTCCACTGAGGTCCCAGGAAGCTAATACAATGTTTAGTTTGTATTGGAGGTGGCTGAATCGTGCTGGAGAAGTCCAAGTGCAAAGCTCTGTTTTTGAAAATGGAAGATGGTGCTAATGGTGTTACAGTCTTGTAACAGGGCGTGGGATGAGTTCTAAATGATGTTTAGAAGCTTTAGGAACCAAAAGGCTTGAAAACGCACAAGGGAGATGTGAGTTTCAAGTTTTTGGTTAGATTATGTAAGAATGGAGGTATGTGATACAGTCCCGAGTTCTTGTGTGTTTTTTGGGCTTGGACATGCATGTGTTTTGATACAAATAACTTGTTCATAAGTAAGGAGAAGGCTTGAGTGCTTGAGAGGGTCAGAAGTACAAGATATAAGCTGATTGCTATATTACTTGATTTTGAAGAAAAGTGGGAGTATGGTTCCAAGATGAAGTACAAGCATGGGCTGAGTGATTGTGAGGCTTGAGACAAACTTATTTTGAGTTATAGGTCATGTATGATCAGAAGAAAAAAATTGCAAGGCTCAAGAATAAGTTTTGTGTATAAAGCTACTTTTTCAAAATGGCATTGTGCCCTTTCTTCCTAAAATGGACATAAAGCATGGGCAATGCATTGAATGCTTGAGTTGAAGCCTATAACAGTTGTGCAAGCATTTAATTATGGAGTGCCTAACAAATTTGAGGCCTGCAAAGCAAAGATTATGTCGCATAGGTTTGAGATTTGAATTTTGTTCATCACAAAATTTTCCTTGTAAAACAACTTGAAACCCCAAATTTTGGCCTTCGATTCTCCTTGCTCACAAATGATCTCAAGGAGTTCTTGGACTTTTTAGAAAGCTTGTAATGTGCTCGACAACCTCTCTTTGAATAACTTTTGAAAAATCCAAATGGAACTATGTGAAACTTGGGTCAGAAGTTAGGTCAAAATCCTGACCTAAAATGCTCAAAATTTCACTAAGTGTTTTGTTTCAAGACCATGACTTCATGGATTAATAACTTGAGATAAAAGTATTTATAGGAGAAGTTTTGTAAAGAAATGATGTATATCTCTTGGAGATCTACAACTTTCATGTTTAAAGTTTCTTTTGAATCATCTTGCATCATAGTGAAAAATTGGCTCAAAGTTGTAAAAAAACATGAAGTTTTCAACATTTAGAAAATTTTCTAAGTTTGAAAACTTTGACTTTTCAAAATTAAATCTTGACTTTTTGACTTCTTGATGAACAAGTTTCATATTTTGACATATTTTGGTGAATTGTGATCTTTGACACTTGATTTTAACCAAAAAGTCAATGTTTGACTTTTCAATATATAGTTGACTTTTGATCAGTTGACTGAAATTCAACTATCAATCCTATTGATCTTGGGCAATGTTTTGAGTCATGCCATTAGGTCAAAGTGATGTAATTTAACTATTGAGACCAATGCTCAAACCAATTAACCATTTGCTAGGTCAAAAATCAGAAATTGCACTTTCTCAGTCAAAACCTTAATTTTGACCATTTTGCCCTTTTGATGATTTGATCAAATTTCTTGAGGAATTGTGGTCCAAATTTGATCAAATGATACATATGAGTTTATAATGTTGATATGGATAAAAAATTATGAAGTTTGACTGTAAATTGGCCACAATAGACTTTTCCCCAATATAGTTGATTTTTAGGTTAACTGCTCAATTACCTGAGCAAAAATGTGATCCAAGGCTTGAAACTTGACATGAGTAATCTTGGGGGTCCATAATGATGCATGAAATTCATATGAGGAATTGAAAGTTCAATTATCTTTGTGCAATCTCAAACCCTAATTTCAAATCATCAGTGCTTAAGAAGGTGTCTTGAGCTGATCAATCTTTGTGCAGTCTTGAACCCAAGGAGATCTTGTGATAAAATATTTGATAAATGAGAGAGTAAATTTTGGGGTACAATAGCTGCCCTTGTTTAATCTTCCTAAACCTGAAGAGTTATATTGGAGGATTTTCCATTCGTGACTTGAAGGTGGAAGAATGACTGGACACTAGAGTGCCCAGAAATTTGCACTCGAAGATAAAATGGGAATGGGTTTATAGATACCATTAAAAGATGAATGCTGACAGAGGATGTACTAAGTCTGAACTTGATTTCAACTGGAAAAGAATCAAAATAAATCTTTGGAGCGATTTATCTGAACCAGGAGAAGTCTTATATGTTGTTTGACTGGGAAGAATCAGAATAAACCGTTGAGAGATTCATCTGAACCCGAAGT